TTGTTAACCAGAGTCACCAGACTGTACATTAGGGATGATCGTTTGTATCCTTCCATGACTATACATCAAATAACTTTATTCCATGTACTAAAACTGATTTAAACCAAGCCCCAAACTCTAATTATAAATCACAATTTAAAATAGGTTAACCAAAAGCAAAGACGATTTAAATAAAATTCTCTGTTCCAATTCTGGTCTTCTCCAAACCCACGACATCCTGTCCAGGCTCATTAGGTCTGTTTGAGGTTGCCTTTCCCAACTTTTTGTTTCTTGATAATGTTTTTGGTTACTGTTCCAACGTCACATTACAGGCTTCTTGATTTGTCCTTCTGATATCATCAGTGAAACGCTTGCGGGGGCTGTGGGCGTGGGTGTTCCTGGCTGGGGGCAGGGCACTGAGGCTGAGGTGGGCAGAGCTGCCTGGCACCAGTAAAGACGGAGAGTGGCAGGCACGAGGGCCGGGAGGCTGGCGCAGCTTGGGTAGTGTGAAGTCTCACAGCACCTCAAGGAAACGGAAAGGGGTGCATTCTGTCCTCCGTGCTCTGGGAAGGGGTTGGGGGACTTATAAACTAGTAAGAAAGATGATCCCGTCTACATTCCCAACATTCTGTCTGCTGCGTGGAGAGGGAATGAAAGGCAGTGGAGACTGTGGGGCCAGGCAGATGGTCTTGTGTGTCCTGATGACAGATTATCTTGATAGGAATAGAGGAAATGAAACACGATGGCCTGTGGGAAAGGTGTGGGTGGAACCTGCTGTTTGGGCAGATGTTGAGCAGTGAGGGAAAGTGGGAACTCAACTGTCTCTGCAGAGTCCATCTGGGGAGATGGAGATGGCGCTGGCCACACAGGGATCCTGGAGGGGGTGCAGGAGCTCTGCTCTTGGCCACATTGAGACCGAGCACCTAATGGACCCTGGAGAGTCGAAACCTGCTGAAGAGGTAAAGTCCAGAGCTCAAGGATGAGGTCAGGATGAGTCCACGGTCAGCGGAAAAACATGCAAGGTGAGGGGACTGGCCAGATCACCCTGGGTGTGACTTCACAAGCCAAGTTCAAGGGCAGAGTTCAAGACGGCTTTCCCAAGGTCTGCCTTGACACAAGTGGGCTCACAAGGAAATCAAAGGCAAAGAAACAGCGTGCAAGCATGCACAGACCCTCTGAAATGTTTCCCTGCCAGAGGCAACAGAGTCACAGGGTGCTGATTTCCACAGGAAACCCAGTGGACATTGTGCAGAGAATCATAATCAGAAAAACACAGAAATCACTCAATTCAACCTAAAGGTGCTGTTTCTCCTCTGTGGAAAACACACTTTGTCCTGTCGTCCCAGATGTGGAACACCTATAGAAACGTAAAGGTCGTATTTAATGTCATATAAGTACATAAATATAATTAGATTGTAGTATAGCTTAACAATTATGCTATAAATTAATACGATTAATTGATAACATAATTGTATTGCAGCATAATAATCCTGATATAATACTAGTATAATGCATGGACGCTCTAGATTATGATTTCAATCACTTCCATGCACTTGTGTCTAGTTCATTGAGATATTTGCAGAATTGAAACCTTCGGACTTAATGGGTTAAACAGGGGGATGGTGGAAGAGGACTCAGAAGAGACAGACAGGGGTCATCTGCATGGAGACTGTGATGATTCTGAGACCCTGGAAGGTGACGGGGCTGGAGGGGGGCTCCAGTGACGTGGGATCCCACGGGGCACGGGTTCTGACTGGGGGACCAAGGCAGGTGTAAATGAACCTGAAGCATGAGGAAGATTCTGTGAACTTGACCTGCTTATCAATTGAACAATAAAAGTAAAGTTAAAAATTAAACTACTGAGCCAATAAAACCTTCCCGGTCACTAACACCAGGGCGAGAGTTTTCGCTAATCATTTACCTGCAGGCAATTCGACAATTGCAAAAAACGGAGAGAAATCTATTTGAAAGGTAAAGAGGATCCTGCACCCTGCCTCCCTCAGGTTGGCCTTAAGATTTTGCTTTTTAATATTCTACTTTTGAAAGGTGGGGATGGGTCTTTTCCCCTTTAAGAGATGTTTAATTTGCTGCTTTGGGGTAGAGATTGTGGGTGTTGAGGAGAACGTTTCTCTCCTGGGATAATTCTGGAAAGAGAGAGAATCCTCCATCCATTAAATCAGGGAATAAATGTCTCTAAAAGTATAGGTGTGTGTGTGGGTGGCGGGGAGACAACATTATCTGAGCCATTTGGATGCAAACCAGAAGTTTAAACTATACTTTTAAGGGATCTGTTGGCACTAGATGATCTACAGTAAGATTCATGCATTCATGTATTGGGCTTGTTTTGAGGAATACATTGATTTAAATAAAAGCATCGATTATATCTGTGATGAGGCAATTATGTGAACGTTTTCCAGGGGAAGATTTTTTTTTTTATCAGGCCTAAAAGATCAAATTAATGAAAACCTATCTAACCTTCCTTATAAACTTGTATAGGGAAAAAAACAAAAATGAAATTCTCGTGGCTCTAGGAAGCCATTCTTGGGTGAAGGGTTCGGGCAGGGAGCTCTGGTTTTGGCATTGTGCATAAGAGCCACCAGCTGTTCATTGGGGGGGGGGCACAGGCAGCACTGCCACCTGAGCTGCGTCTGTGTGGTCTCTTAGGGGAAAGTCACCCCACAGAGCAGGGGGCGGAGGCGCAGATTGTGTTAGTGGGGACAGACACTAACCCTCCTGGTAAGGAGTCGGATAAGTTGGCCCGATTTCTTTGCTATCTTTTTCTCATCTACCTGGTCTTCAGAAACAGCTAAGGCTGAGGATTTCCAAATTTCCAGTTCTCCCTGGGCCTTCGGCCCCAAGCTGTGGGCTCAAGGACAGAAAGCCCACCTGGCAGCCTTCCCTCCTAGCTCCAACCGGCATCTCAAACTCCATGTGTCCAAAACCAAACTCTCGCTTTCTGTCTGAAACCCGTCCCCCTCCCTCGTTCCTGTCTCACTGGGCACACACCATTCTCTCCTTTGCTGGAGCCTTCATCGAGATGTCTGGCGAGTCCGGCCTTTCTCTCGTTCCTACAGGGCCACCTTAGCAAGTCTAACTGGCTTGTCCCCAATAGAAGTCCAGGATGTGGTCCTGTCACACAGCCGTCCCAGCCCAGCTGCCAGGGGAAGACATCGCTTCCTGCCTGGGCTCCTGGTCCTCATCTGGCCCCTTATGGACCACATACCACGCCTCAGTCAAGGTGGTCCCCTGCCATCCCCTGGCCTGTAGGACCCTAAGTGGTGTGGCCCAGCCCACCCAGGGGTCTCCTCTCCTTCTAGCCCTCACACACCCTGCATGACCACACTGCACCACAGTCTCCCAGGAAACACACCCAGCTTGCTCTCATCCACCTCTGCCTCCTTCTCGTCCTTCCCATTTCAGCTCAAATACAAGCATCCGATGCAGACAAGGTCCAGCAGCTGGACTGGCACCGTCGACCCTTCTCCCTTGTGCAAGTCACCATTGAGTGCCAGGCTGCTCTTGTTTTCTTTATAGCAAGTGCCACTGTTGTGTATTCCTTTCACACTACACCCCCTCCTGGGGGTAACTTTGACCAGAGCCCATGTCTCAGCTATTGTCCCTGGATGAAATTCCCTTGTCATACAGTTGTAGGGACAAACGAGGCAAGGCACCGAAGATAGCAGGAAACGGTTTTATTTGGCTGCACCAGGTTCAGAGGGCACAGCCTTTGCTGTAATCAATCAATCCCCTGAATCCCGAGTTCAGGGAGTTTTAGGATTTTATACCCAGTGTGTAAGGGGAGGGGCTCAAAAGTTCACATAAAAGCAGCTTTTTCTTTCACTGTTGTGGGCAAGTTAACCCTTCAAGGACAACACCTGAGAAGGGGGGAGCTTCTTCTCCCCTCTCTTTCCTCCCCCTGCCAGCTGTTACCATGGAGCCCAATTGTAACTTATCTTAAAAATGTAGAGATCTCTGTGAAGCCCAGCTCAAGGCCAGAGGCCTTATTTGCACATTTCTACAAATTACTGTACTGGATACGTTTGTGAAAAGCTAGTAAGGGGGTGTCCAGCACCTGGAGTGCTGGTATCTTCTCAGCCTGTGGCCTAGTAAACAGGGTGACATGAAGATAGGAAGTTTATCTAGATTGGAATCTTGCAGAGACTCTTTTGTTGACAGTCCCCAAATCAGCCATGGTGAAGAGGGCTTTTCTGTGGAGAAACGGGGTGCCACTTCAATACCACAGCATTGTCCTATCTCTGCTCTCTCTTGCCAAATCTTAGTGTTCTCATAGGTTCCAGAAAAGCCATGATTGCTGGTTTTATGGAAAACTGGCAAGTGCTTCAGTTACAGAAAGCAAGGAAGGGGGTGGATGAGAGAGAATCCAGTCCTTGATCATGCAGGAGAAGGGGCCATGGAGGAAGAGCGCTCCGTTCATTTATCTCACAAATGTTTATGGAACCACTGAATGAGCAGCTGAGAGCGAACTCTCGGGCACTGGTTTGCTTGAAGAGCCCTATGGCTATAGGGGAAATTTTTACAGGGAAAGTGGTCTTCAGTTCTTACAGCTGAAAAAGTCTTTTCTGTCCAACTAGCTGCCCCAGGGTGTGGCCAGGAAGGATAAACACATTATTCTTATTTTTTACAGCAGAATGTTCCATACATCTCCCAATTATTTTAATCCACTGCAATCTTCCAGATGAAATTCCAAATAGGTCGGTCAGGTTTCCACGACCAGTTGATGTGTCAGCTTAATGTCACAGGGATGCCGAACTGGACAGAATCTCATAGTTTACCAAGGCAATACAGGCTAGATTCCTCACTTGGAGTGACTGTGACTTTTCCAAGACCACACGATGATGGAGCTAAGGAGACAAACCCACTTACTGAGCCCAAGTGCAGTCCTCTTCCCACCAAACGATGATCCTTCCTAACTCTTAGGAGGAAAGACTGGAGCTGGGTTGTGTAAGACACAGGACACTTCGCTGTCCTTATTTGCTTTTGTGCTTTTTTACTTCAGAGGGTGAATGCCCGTTCCTGGGAGGAGAGGACCAGCATGTCTACTGGAGCTGCTGTCAAGGGGGCAGCAGGAGACGTTTCCAGCGATGGTCATTCAAACACCACTCAAGAGCAAGCCCCCAGGAAAGGTAAAATCACGCGTGGGGATGTGACTGTGGGAAAAACTGGGATTTCTGTCACTGCAACCTCCCTTTTGTTGGTTTACAGCATTTTTTGCTACTGCTAGTTGCCAAGAATCGTACATAGTTAAAAAGCCGTTTTACTCCTGTTTCATTTCTCACAAGAAATCTTGAAGGTAGATAGGAAAGGTGTGTAGTACAGTATTATTTAGAGATGAACAAATGAAAAATGAAGCAGATTCTAAGTAGGAAACACGGAAAGCAACTTTGGCTTCTCTGAAAACGTCCAGGGCTCGTGCCGGTGGATCTCAGCTCATGTTGCACACATACCCGCCTCCAAAGGAGCAGGCCTTCTTTCTCACTGTGTCCTAGATCTTCCCTCCTCCTCCCTCTCATCTGCAATCGGTGTTTTGCTGGGATATGCCACAAGGTGAAACGTGGAATGTCTTATTTTACCCCAAGTTGTTAATGACTTATAGCTGCTCTGCATTAATTTTTCTAAGGATACAGGCTGGTCCTAAAATAATGCCTTCCCAAAGAAAAACATTGACCAAGATGGAACATCTAAAAACTCAACATGTTGGCCAGTCTGTTTGTGGGAAGTGTGCATGTCTTTAAGAGCAGAGGCTCCTCAGTCTAGCCCACCAAGGAACTTAGGGTGCACCTGCTGATGCTCATGCTGCAGCCCACCACCCTGCGATCCAGAATGAATTCTCTTCCATTGGCACTGGCTCCAGTGCTCCCTTGTCTCTATGTGTTTTGCCATCTTTTGGACTAAGCCATTGGCCAGAATCTTCTATCCTGTCTGCCCTGCCCCTCAATCCCCTCCCCCCAATCAGTAGCCAATAACGTGAAAAACTTACGTATAAAGTTGTACCGTGACACAGCATGACATCCAGGGTCAGAACAAGGGTCAAAGGCCAGGTTCCCTGAGTTGGCAGTCCTCATTCTGCCATTTCTGAGCTGCGTAGTGTTAGACAAATTTACCTGAACGTTCCATATCTCAGTCCGCCATTTCAAAATTGGGGTAATAATAACACAAACTAACTTGAACTGTTGCCCCGAGAATTAGATTCATTAGACCATAAATCCATAGACCGGCACCTCGCACCCAGTAAGCACTAAGGCACCGTTAGCTATTACTACTGCCACTCGCTTGCTGTCCCCTCTGCCGCCCGCCTGTTGGAGGTCCTTAAAGAGCTCATTTATACTTTGTCTAAAGGGAAATTCACGTGTGGTCTTCCCCGTTTCCTGCAGTCTTCTAGGACACCGGTCCATCAGGCTGCTCAGCCCTCTGATGACCACTTGGAGTCCAGCCGTGTCAGCCAGTGCCTTTGTACCCCTATGCAGCCTGGCGAGGCGAAAGGCAGCTTGATACACAGCCGTCCCTTCTGGGCAGCCTCCCCACCTAAAAAGCCAGAACCCCTGCTGCTGGCTCCGCTCTTCAGCCAGCTCCTTGTGTCTCTCGGGAACTTGCAGGAGCAGACCCTTCCTGGGTCCATCGATAGTGTCCACACCAGCTTTCCTTCTAGCTCCCTGTCTTGTGTCCACAGGGTACTCCTAGGTCTTCAGTGTCAGACCCCAGGCCCTGGCTGGGGGCTCCTCTGGGCACTGAGGGTCGCACAGGCCCCTGGAGTCTTTGCTGGTCATCACTGGGCTCCCAAGACACCTGGACACCAAGTGCAGGAGTTTCATGGGGTGTGGAGAAGCACCCTGTCACCACCACGTCCCACTCTGGTCACCTGGTCGCATCTGAATCTGCTTATCCTCCCAGGCCCCCAGAGACCCCGAGTGAGAAGGATTGGCCCCAGGTTCTGCTGCAGGGTCACTGCTCCTTCAGTTTCAGGATTCAGCTAAGGACTCGTGGGGCTGCCTTGTGATCCCCTTTACCACAGAGGCCCACGAGGTGCTGGGTCAGTCTGAGTTTGATTAGAACAACAGAAGCCTGTCTAAGCATTTCAAAAAGAAAGAGGTTCAGTACAAGGGGCGAGAAGGTTCCAGAGACTCTGGAAGCCTAGGGAAACAGGTTGGTCAGGTTGGTCACTTTCGGGAAAACCAGAAGTGGTAATGACCCCATCACTGTCAATGACCCCAGCTAGGCACATGGCAAAGAGGGCGATTTTCAGGGCACCCCAGAGTCACAGGCATAGCTTCCCGGTCTGCTATCGCTGGTGCCCAGCCGCTGCCTGGAGCTGCCTCGGGAGCACCACGGCTCCTCAGTGCACTCAGCCTTCCACACATGGGCACCTGGCAGCCCGCTGGTAAAATCTGAGCAGAATCTGTTTGCATGGCAGTCCAAAGACTGCAGTTTCCACATCTGTGCCCCTCTGGGGTGCGTGGGCTCTCTCATCCAGCGAGGAGGTCCACAGAACAGGGCAGAGGAGAGTGTGGCTGCAGAGTCACTCATCAAGACCTCCGGAGACCAAGCAGGAAGCAGGTCTGATTTTATTGCACAGTTACCATGGATATATCCTCAGCTAGCAGCCAAGCAGATGTCTGCTAACTGTCCTTGCAGCGACCAATCCAGGAGTGGGCCATGGAGCAAGCGCAGGGACGGCCACACATGGCCTCATGCCCAGGGTGTGCCTACGGGGTAAGCAGTCTGCCGCTCACACTATCTCTGTGCCTAGCATGAGGGGAGTGGCCTGCCACTCAGGCGCCCTTAACGTATGCCATGTATGCAGTACTCCATGCACTTGTCCCCACATGGGGACTGCAGAGTAGGTCGAAGGTGGAGATGACACTGAGACTCTATAAGCAATGTCAGGGACATTTCTTTTCCTCCTGTCAAAAAAACCTCGTGGACTTGGATACGCCCCGGCCTATGGCACCTGCAGGCCAATCTGCAGGTAGAGGCCCTTCTGGACTGTGGAAGTAAGAAGAGGAGTCGGCTGCACACTGTGAGAAAGCACCTCCACGGAGGTGGAAAGCAGGGAGCCGTCCATTCTACGGCCTTGACACAGACCCAACACAATCTGAAAGTCAGGGAGGACACCAGGAGCCGCCAGGCCCCCGTCCCGGAAGCACAGGGCAGGGTTCAGAGGAGAGCACTCTGGGGGCTCCCGTCAGGCTCCCAGGACAGTAGCTGTGCAGGCCACAGGGGCGAGGCCCCCAGGGCCTGCAGTGGCCAGTGGTGGAGGAGCCTGCCCTCCTGGCTCCTGGGCCTTTCTAAAGATCTGCAGTTTAGCCTGGGAGCCAGCGCCATGGAGCAGAGGCCAGCAGGAGTGGGCGCAGACACCAGCTCAGACACTGCAGAGCGCTGGCCCACGTCCGCGGTGTTACTGCAGAGTTATCCCTTTAACGGGGGAGGAGTTCCATGACACCACACACCACCGCCACCCGCGTGACAGCCTTACCTCCAGCCAGCAAAGGTGACCCTGCGTGGGGTGTCAACACACAGAACAAAGCCACGTGCAGTTGGCCCTTCCAGGTCAAGGCTCAGGGGCACCACAGGGGCCTGGTGTACATGTGTGTGAGCACCCGGGAAGAAAGGAAGGGAATGTGCTGATTAAAGAGATGAACAGGCTCTAGAGAAAGGTCACGGCTCATGTTAAGAGCTGTGGCATAATGAGTGCGTGTCCTGTTAGGCACTGCTCTGAGCTCTGTGTGCAGTTAAACCTGAAGAGTCCCATGCGGCCCCTCAAGGAGGGCCTGCAGCAGCGCCCCCACTCCCCAGGCGCTGCCCCAGCAGAGGGAGGAGCGGCTCACCCCACCAGCCAGAGCCGCGGTCGTCATCCTCGTGTTGGGCGCTCTGCGTGCTGGTTTTAGCGGGAAATGGAGACGACTTCACCTCACACTCACTCAGGTTCTCGGTACTGATGAGATGATGGTGGTAAAGCAGCTTGTTACAGTGTGAAGCAAACCAACAGGAAAATAGGAAACACGACCTCAGCGTAGAGGAGAAAAGAGACTAAGAGGAAAAAGTGTCACCGCAGAACTACTACGGGATTGGCAGCAGTGAGGAGAGATGCTGTCACTATGGGAAGTCCAACGGGCTGCGTGGAGCCATGGCCTGAGAGAGAGGCAGCCAGACTAGCCCACGGCGGGTGACAGACCTGCAGAGGGAGAAGACAGCACTCAGGAGGGGGACGTCACGCAGCTTCCCGTTCAAGGGAAGAACGCAGAACATTGAAGTAAGGAAGTGAGGAAAATCACGTGAACTCAGGTGTGAAGGAGACTGAGGTGAAAAACCTGTGTAAGAAGTGGTTCTTGGATAAAGAAGAGGCCACTCACAGCAAGATAGCAAGCAATCTGCCTCTCAGATTAACCAAGCAAGGAGGAGCCACCCCATGGAAAACCGGGAGACAGAAGCATTGAAACGTATATAATCGACTATGAGAAAACATGCAGCAACTGATTTCCGAGTAATTATACCTATAAATATATAATTTATTTTTAATCTTACATAATTATAATTTTGCAATTATGATCAAGAAGAAAAATTAAAATTGTATATTTCAATGGAGAAAGCTGTTTTTTTTTTAAAAAAAAGTTTTTCCCTTTAATCAAACAAACCAACACACAAATTGTCTTGGTTGTCTCTAGAAAAACTGGGAGACTCCTCAGGAGCAGGAAAATACCTGCGTAGCTTGGGTGGAAGACTTCCTAAGAACACCAGCTGATGTCGAGCGCAGGTCCTGGCTGGTGCCCTGCAGCACTTCCTGTGGAGAACAGACAGCCCCTGAACTCCAGCCCAGGGTCCAAGTGACAGCGCATGGGCAGTGGGCAGCGTTGGTACCGTGCAGTGAGGACACAGCTCGCCCCCGCTCCTCAGGCTTCCTCTCAAAAGCTCACGGCCCCAGAGTGACCATGAGAAGACATCCTGCAAGCCATCAAGGCACATTCCATAGAGTAGATGAGGGGACTCTTCAGAAATGCAGAGGGGACGCCCAGCGGGGGAAGCAGAGAACTTTAGTCCTCAGGTGAGGCATGGGCTTCAGTTAGTGATGGTACGTCAACACAGGTCACCAATCGTGTCAGATGTGCCTTACCAACACACAAGGTTAATAACAGGGAAAACCTACGTGACGTGTGGGAACTCAGTGATTCTGATCCTAAAACTGCCCTAACACAGAAAGTTTATTGAGGGAAAATGAAAATGTCTATGTCTTGATCACAGACCAAGATGGAGAGCTTAGAGCTTTCTTCCTCCTCTTCCCCCTCACCCTCTTCTCCTTCTTCTTTCGAAGGTAACATGTATGGCAGAAATGACACACACACACACACACACACACACACACACACACACCAAGCTCAATTACATATGCTGAATAAAATTCTAAGACAACCAAATAAATCATATTCTTCACTAAAAACAGTGTATTAAGCAGAGATATTCCCCAAATGCAAGGAAAGTCAAATATGACTACTAATCATAAGTGAATTTCTGTGCACTGACTCACTTCTCCTCATGGTGCCTGGAGGTGGAGCTCCATCATGACCCCTGCTTTACAGGTGTAATAGGCGGCCACGAGAGATCAGTAATTGTCCAGGAACACACATCTCCGATACAACATCTGGGGGTGGGATTCAGGTAACTGATGCCAGGATTGAAATATATTTGAAAAAAAATCACCTAAAAATGGGCACAGGATAACTTGCTGCCGTTTAGACACAGGTCACACCGACTCCCAATGGCTTGCTAGACGGTGCCACATGACAGGCACTCCCAGGACATTCAGAGGTAGCAGGAGTGCTTGCTCCTATTGTTCCTATTTAGCAAAGTTTTGAAAATGCTGGTGAATAGAGTTAAGGAATGAAATAAATGTTGCAAACAGCAAGAATAACTCATTTCCCCATTATTTGTACACAAAATCTTTCTTTTCATTTTTTTTAAAGTCAAAACCCAAGGGGAAAAAAATAAACTGATGTAAATAATAGGAAAAAAAAAACAAGCCTCAGTTGCAGAAACGATACAATGTACTTAACCCACTGTGTGGGCCTTAACTGAAGAGAAGCAGGAGGTCTCCCTGGGACAGAGAAAGTCCTGGAGACGTGGGCAGGTGCCCTTGGCGAGGAGGAGGCCATACTGTAGCGGTGACGACCTTTCTCAGTTTAATCTGCTGAATCCACACGACAGTGACCGATGGTCCATGCACAGTTAAGTGCCCCGGAGTTAGACCGAATGTCGGCTCCCAGACCTGAGGGAGCATCTGCAGAGGAAGAAGCCCAGTGCGGCCTGCTCCAGGTGCATCTGCTCCCTGCAGGAGCTTGGGAAGGACACTCACTGCCCGGGGCAGGGATCATGCGCTGCTTCTGGATTTCTCCACAGCCTATCAACCTTTCCAAGCATCATCAGACTCATGTATCTTTCTTGATCAAGGGACGGCCCCACAGTTCCCATGGAACAAGTGCAAGTTTCATGCAAGCCTGGATTATGGGGACACCATTTTTGCCCCAGAGTATCCAGACAAAGATGAAACACGTCTGCACTCTGACCCTAGCCTACTTTTCAGGTAGCGTCTCCCCTGAGCCTGGAAACAAGTTAAATGCCCGGGTTCCCTAGTTCTATAAGCAGCATTTCGCACCATGTCAGCTCCCGGGCCAGGGACGTTCTTCAGTCTCGCTCTCCGTATGCAGTCGGTCGCTGACTCTGCCTGTTCTTTCTCTGCAGTGCTCTTCCCATCCCCACCCCAACCTCTCCTCTCAGGCCCTGGAGAGCCCTGCCCTCAGGCTCATTCCCCCTGACTCCACACGTTCCTCAAGCCTCTGCTTGAGCAATGCCTCTAAGGGGCTGCTGTTCCCACATCCCCCAGGGAACAGGGGTCCCCCAGACACCTGCACAGCAAGGTCTGCTGTCCCCATGTTTCCATCTCAGGCAGATGTCAACCTTCTCATCTTCTGGACCTGGGAAGGATGGGTGGGTGTCCTGATGGGACCTTCTGTGCCCTTCTTGCAGGTCTCTGTTCCGTCCGACATGGGCTGGCCCTCATCTTGCAGCTCTGTAATTTTTCAATTTACACCCAACAAATGAACTTGAGCATTGCCATCACAGCCATGGTGAACAGCACGGTGGCTCCCAGCCAGCCCAATGCCTCCACAGAGATGCCCCTCACGCACCCCCAGGACCCCTGGAACTCATCTCTAAAGGAATCCAAGGCAGGGGTGAGTTTAGTGAGACTCTGGACACTTTATTTTACTCAAGTGGATCATCTTAAAAGGTCATCTCATAAAAGAACGCAACTCTTTTAGCCAATAAATGTGTTTATTGAGCGCATACCATGTGCCAGGAACAGCACAAGAGCATACTGTGTGTCTAAGGAGACTTTACGAGTATAAGCAGGAGCTAAGTTAGAATAAAGGAAACAGCCTTTACCATTTGGTGGACATAAATTCTTGCCCCACAGTGATGGAAATCACCACAAAACACATTCCACGGATTTGTGTCTACTGTCTCTGCTTCTTTATAAGCTTTCTTTCTTCATGGACGCTCACATTTTAACTGGTCATTAGCTATGTCAGGGTGGCAGGGAAGAGTGTGTTAGGCATATGCTTAAGCTTTTTTTTTCCCTTTTATGAAGTTGGTAAATTGGAAGAGTGGGAGAGAGGTAATAGGAAAGAGAATGGCGTGTTTCTTTTTGCCTGCAAGTCCTCACGATATGAAGCCGACTTTGTAAGCACAGGCGGGCTGTGAGGTTACCTTTGTCGCCTAGGCCCCTGCATACGACTGGAGTCCTGAGATTCAGGGCATCCTCCTCAGCTCCCTCAACTATGGCTCCTTCGTGGCCCCCATCCCCACGGGCTACGTGGCTGGGATATGTGGAGCTAAGTACGTGGTCGGCACCGGCCTGCTGGCTTCCTCCGTCCTGACCCTCTTCATCCCGCTGGCGGCCGACGCTGGAGTGGCCTTGCTCATCGTCCTCCGGGTCATCCAAGGCATCGCCCAGGTACTAAGATGTTTCCCAAGTGTGAATGGAACCTAGGTTCCAGAATGATCTCATGTTCCTAAGATCAGAAATCCCCCCTCCAGGTTATGGTATTAACAGGTCAATATTCAATTTGGGTCAAATGGGCTCCCCCGCTGGAAAGGAGTCAACTCACCTCCATTGCTGGATCAGGTAACTGACCTCCCTCTCACCTTCACTCACCTTGTCCAAGAGCGCCGGGCCACACCCCTCAAAGGCCCTGAGACCTCACATTCCAATCACCATCACCACAGCCCTGGCTCGCAAGCCGCAGCCTGCACTACCTTGATCAGAACAGGGCACTACTGTGCACCAACATTCTTGTGTTTCGTACGTGCTCATTTCCTATTAGTCTCAGAACAGTCTTGTGAGTCAGCCATGTGTAATTCTTTTCCTTTCCCACCTAAGGAGTTTGGGGCACACATAGGCTGACAATCATCCAGGGTCACACAGCTTCCGAGAGGGGGAGCAGGCTTTGCAGCCAGGCAACCTGGATGGAAGCCCGTGCCTGCAATCCTGGTGGTTCTGCGGGAAGCGCGTGGACTCCCAAGCCCGGCTCTCACCCAGAACACTTGCATCTTCCATTCAGGGTCAATGCTGGGGACCTTCATTGTCCTTCTCACTGGTGGCCTCATCTGCCAGGACATAGGATGGCCTTATGTCTTCTATATATTTGGTGAGTCTGTGCTCTTCAAATCTTGGAATTTTCCTTGAAGACAAAGAGCATCAAGCATGATCTCTGTAATGCTGCTTACCCTGGGTGAGCCAGTAGGTATGTACCCTGAAGAGGCATGAGCGGATCCTGATCAGCACCAATCCTGTTGTGAATCATGCCGGCTTCTACGACAGCGGTTAAGTGTCAGTAGCCTTGGTGCAAAGCTAGAATAACCTTATGAATTTTGGGGTATCATAGGATTCTTTACTGCTTCTAAGTTGAACCCAAAGGATCTCAGAGCCATTTCTTTCATAAGACATCGAAAATGTTATCTCAGGAGAACTGTGATCACAGGCTATGTTTTAGTCTGTGCTTATTTAATTACCACTTCCAGAAAATTGTGTGAATGCAAACTAATCATAGGTAAAATACTGCCTGGAGTGGGGAATCAGTCAGTAGAGCCTGCAGGACAGACCATCGGAGTCTAAAGAGTGGACACAATACACAGAAAGATGCTGCAGAAAGTTCTGGAATGTTCCAAAGGCAGTATTTACAGCTTCACGTTTTACTTTCATTTGAGCTCTGGATGGGACTACCCTGCTGCTACCAGTTCATGTTTGTATTTTGGACTTGTGACTCACTCGGATATCCCTCCTGTAAATTCCCTGGTTCCTTAGGGTGAGTGCCACTAGTGTTTACATCAGAGGGTCATCCTCTTAAATCAAGGGCTCCTGTAACATTAGGCAACTACATGCATAAAAAATGTATGAATATTAATTGCTATAGAATATCAGTCTTCAAAGACTCATTAAAAAAATGCCAAAAGGGCAGATTATGAAATTTACTAAACAATGAGAAAGATTCACCATGCTTGTGATTTTGAGGATTAGCGAGCAGCATGTACAAAATAGGAATCACTAAAGACTCGTTGAGTCACTATTGACACCCTCCAACCCCAGTCCACCACATCGCTGATTTTCATGTCTATCCCCCCAGCCCATTAACTTCCTTGAGGGAAAAAATTGTATTTGTGTATCCTATAGTCTCAAAATTTAGCACAATGCTTGATGGAGGTGTCTGCTGTGTAATGTTTGTGAAGGGACGTGCATATGGCAAGCCGCTTATGTGGTGAGAACACTTAAAACTCTCTCGAGATTCTAAGAGGAGAATTTTTTTTTCTTTTTGATGCCAGGGATTGAACCCTGGGGCGCTTACCCACCGAGCCACATCCCCAGCCCCTTTTCACATTTTATTTAGAGACAGGGTCTAGTTGAGTTGCTAGGGTCTCCTTTGAATTTAGGATCCTCCTGCCTCAGCTTCCTGAGCCACTGGATTCCAGGCGTGCGCCACCACACACTCTCCCTAAAGGGAGAATTCCAAGAAGGGTCATGTGGCCACTCAGTGCTGATGTCCAGTTCCCGGGGACCGAAATAATGTGAAAATTAGGGACAATTGATTTCTAGAGGAATAATTTCATTTCTCTAGAAATTGGGTGATCCATTGCACCTAAAATGTGCTGCTGCTACATCTCAAGTGCTTCTGGATAAGGGAAAGACGTGGAAAGGTGGAGAAAAGGGGACTTTGTGGACGCGTGACTCTCAGGAAGGATGCTGGTTGCTACAGGAACAGTGAGAACATTTCCAAGCACATGGGACAGACACACTAATAGCTTGTGGCAGCGTGCTATGGCATCAATACCGCTGCATTTCCAAACCTCCAAATCTCAGTGGTTTAAAACAGCCATCTCTACTCTCATAGTTCCGCAAGGCAACTGGGGGACTCCTCTCTGTGTCTGTCATCTGCTTTGGACAATGGGTCAGCAGGAGCATGCTCCTCTTGGCAGTGGTGGGCTCAGAACAGGTCAAGAACTTGGCCACGTGGTGGGGAGCCTCCACTCCGCTCAGGGCCGGGTGCTGGTGACGGGCTGCAGTGTGGGTGTCAATCATTCTGCCAACCGAGGAGTCATCTTGGGGAAGAGGCCAGCTGAAAGAACCATCCTCTCTTCCCAGGTGGAATTGGGTGTGCCTGCTGCCTCCTCTGGTTTCCTCTCGTTTACAATGACCCTGGGAATCACCCCTTCATCAGTGCTGGTGAGAAGAGATACATCACGTGCTCCCTGGCCCAACAGGTATCCTGAGCAAGGCCCCTGCCCTCTCCCCACCTCCTGGCTCCTCACAGTGCAGAGCAGAGCCCGTCTTCCGAGGGATCGGGTGTTGATATGTGCTTTCTTCCAGGACTGTTCACCAGGCTGGACTCTGCCCTTAAAAGCCATGATCCTATCGCTGCCACTTTGGGCCATCGTGGTCTCTTATTTCTGTGAATACTGGCTTTTGTATACCATAATGTCGTACACGCCCACATACATCAGTTCCGTACTTCAAACCAACCTCAGAGATGTGAGTACAGAGAAAGCTCATTTTGTTCTTCTGTTTAAATGCTTCATTCTGCAATCCTCTGTGTCTCCCATGATTGCAAAATGAGTAGATTAGGCCCAGGACTCCATATAGGAAATGCGGCCTCGCCAGCCGGCTTCTGGCGGACCCCAGTGTGGTTTACCGCTCATCGGAGCAGCGGGTCACGGTTGTAGGTCTGTATGACAGTCACATAATTCATGTTTAAGAGTCCTTTGCAAACATTTCATTCTCAATTCAGTCAACATTTGTGACTGAGACACTGCTGGCAGCATAAATAATAGACACAATGAAAATCTATGACGGAGAAGCACAGAAGAAAACCGTCCCGGGTAGAGCTTACCTAAAAAAATTGAGGATGATGTTTCTCTAAAAAGATGTTGTGTACATGTATCACATGGAGAAAAGAGTGCACATGGGTGTACCACCCTCCAGATCTTCACAAAGTGAATGGTTGCTGGCCAGCTGGAGAAGCTGTCCGATTTCCACTAGATGGATGTCTTCAGGTGGCAAAGAGTTATTAGAGGTGGCAGCCTGAGTGGCTACTGCCGTAGTGACCACTATCACCTCCCACCTCTCTGCTCACAGAGGCACCTTCTCATGCAGGGTCGCCTCCAGTGGAAACGCACACAGCCGCCAAGGGACAGCTGACCTGCTTAGGGAGTCAGAGCCTGGGGCACACGTGCCAGAAGGAGGCACTGACTCCAAAAGCCCCAGGGAGGAGTGGCTCTGTGTCCTCTCAAAGGGGAAAATGAAATGCAACCAGGGGGGCAGAAGGCCGGGCATGCAGGATGCCGGAGCCAAGCAGCAGACCTCTGAGCCTGGCTGGAGGAGCCCCAGTCTCTGGTGTAAAGTCAGGTGGGGAGGCCAAGGCTGACGAGGATGACAGTCAAATGGGGAGTCAAGTGTGGCCCAAACGTAGAGCTCCCCAGGCCGGGAAGTCCGAAGCCCAGGAGGCCTGCTGCTCTTGGGGTGCCCCTGTACCACTTAACCCGGATGGGCGTGGCTTGCCATCTGTGCACAGTTAGGGGGAAGCTAAGCTTTCCATTATTTGGATTATACAAAGCAAAGTGTGATCTCATTTCCCCTTCGTTTTCTTCAGTAAGAATTTAACTTGGAGGTTGAATTAAAAGTAACAAGCTTCAATCTTTGCAAAACTACATAACTTTTGACTTGATAAAGCTCTATGAAGAGTGAAAAATGTTACTCTGGGTCTTGTCTCTAATCTGCCCTGTCTTCCTGGCCTGCTCTATTGACAGGTTGTTTTTTTGTTTTTTGTTTTGTTTTGAATTGTCACATTTTTTCCATTGTTTCTCTGTGAGAATGCAAACATACATGAGTATATATTCTTATTTTCTCAACTTCTTTTTTTCTTTTACACCAAACCGATGGCCTGTGGGTCATGGTTTTGCCTTATAATCTAGGTTTTTGCCATTTAGTATACCTTGAGGTTCTCTTTATATCAGTACACAGGAACTGTACTGGGCAATATCTAGGGTTTTCCATCATTGAACAACGTTGCAGCAAAAGCCTTTTTCATTTGTCATACATTTGCACAACGATTTCTGGGGAGTAGATGTCTACATGGGAGATTGCTGAGTCAGAGGGGAAATGCACTATCCACTTATATTTGTCAAATTGTTCTGCGTGGGCACCGCTAATGTCTGTGAGGACCCAAGTCCCTGCAGTGCCACCGAAACATGTTAATCTTTTTTAAAATTTTTGCCAATTTGATTCATGAAAAGTAACATCTCACTATGGCTTTATTCTAAGTGAAGTTGGGTTTGTTTTAACATGTTTAGGAGCCTCTTGTTTTTCCTTTTTCTGTGAATTGTTTGTTCATTTCCTTCATTTCTCTGCTGGACTTTGGTCTTTTTAATACCTATTTCCACATGATCCTTGTATATCAAGAGAACATTTCTTTTAAATTGAGCTATATGCACATCTTTCCCTGAGTACTTGGAGTTCACTGGCTCATTCCAATGCCTGAAATGGACATTAGAACAGATGTGTCTATAAAGAAAAGCCACAGCTGTGGGCAGTCTGTTCGAGGACTGTCTCAGTGGGTGGGGGGACGCATGCACTCACCTCTCTCGTCCTCAGAGCGGGATCCTGTCGGCTCTGCCGTTTGTGGTTGGCTGTGTCTGCATCATCCTGTCAGGTCTCCTGGCCGACTTTCTCCTCTCCAGAAGAGTCCTCAGACTTGTCACCATCAGGAAGCTCTTCACCGCCATAGGTAATGGCCCAGCTGGAGGCAGGCGTGGCTGGGGAGGCTCGCTGTGGCCTCCTGTTGATCCCACCTGTCCTTCTGCCCAGGTGTGGTCTTCCCCTCCGGGGTCCTGGTGGCCCTGCACTGGGTCAGATCCAGCCACAGCACCACCATGGTCTTCCTGGTGCTGTCCTCTGCCTTCAGCAGCCTCTGTGAAGCCGGCGTGCTGGTGAACTTCTTGGATATCGCTCCTCGGTAGGACCCCTCGCCTCCTTCTCACAAAGCGTGGCTCAGGCCCCCAGCCCTGCTGGGACCCTCAGCAGGTCAAAGAGATGTCACCTGCAGCCTACATCCAGGTCACTCCGGGAAAGTCGCCTGAGCTGGCCAATCGCCGAGAGCTCAGTGCTTCCAGGTGTGAAGCAGAGCCTCCTGTGGCCCCATGACAGCTCTGCTGGGAGAGTCATCAGCCCCTGATGACTGGTCCTGGAGGACAGACACCCAGGGCTGACCGCCGAGAGCATTTGTTAGGCTCCACGGGGCAGGCCCATCCTCGCTTATGCTAAGGGGAAGGCAGGGTAGCAGGAGGAGGAGTCTCCTCCAACATGGGCAAGCAGGGAGGAGACAGAGCCCCAGGCACAGCTCCGGTCAGGTCCCGTCTCAGGCAACAGGACAAAATTCATCTTCAGGGGAGGAACCAGCAAACCATGTGGAGACACCTTGGTCTCAGGGAGCAGCATCTCTCATCCAGGGAGGAGCTTTGTGCCCCCAAGAAAGCTAGAAGGTCTGGCTGAAGAGCCGGCACCAAGAAATCATCCACATCAGGCTCAGACCCTCCCCTGCCCATTTGTATGCGTGACACTGACAAGTTAGGGCTGGCTACCCCTTGGAAGTCTCAGACCCAGCCCAGGAGTTTACCAATGCTCAGCCAGCTCACTGAACTCAGGTTTAACACTAGTGAGCGCAGGGGAGCCTGGGAGGAACAGGCAAGCTCTAGATAGGGCACAGGGAGGGGAGGGAGGGCCAGGGGGTTAGCAAGGACGGTGGAATGTGATGGGCATCATTATCCAAAGTACATGTATGAAGACACGAATTGGTGTCAACATGCTTTATATACAACCAGGGATATGAGAAATTGTGCTGTATATGTGTGATAAGAATTGTAACACATTCCACTATCATTTGTTTTTTAAAAAATCAATTTAAAAATTAAAAAAAAAATAAGAATGAGCACAGTTCCAGGCTCCCCAGGGTCAGGCATAAGTCCCGACAGCCCAGCCGAGACTGACCCTCTGCTGACCGATGGGTGTCCCCCTGCCCTCAGGTATGCTGGCTTCCTCAAGGGGCTGATGCAAATCTTTGCACACATAGCAGGAGCCATCTCGCCCACCGTAGCAGGAGTGCTCATCAACCAGGTGAGGCCAAACGTTCTGATGAATGTCATAAAAGGAACTCACAAAGGTTGCACCACAGCCATTAAAGCAAGGGTGTTTGTGTTCCCTCCTTGATGGGGCTCTTCAAACTCTAGCATCCTGAGCACCTCACATGTCCTCATTACTGCCCCAGGCTCACCTCGCCCAAGGAAATGGCCACCTTCTTGGGATGTGATGGTGAATGCTCACGGTTATGTTTCTGCTTTGTGAGTCCTTGCAAAATGAGCTTCTCAAGATAAAAAGCAAAATCTCTAGGGATATTTGACAGTCATATTTGCAGAGTAGAGTGGCCATCCATCCCGGTTTGCCTGGGTGCAGGGCTGTCAGCGTCAAAGCCTTGAAAGTTCAAGGCCACCGTTGTAGAGTGAGCCGGCCACTCTGCAGAGTTCACAGGATGAATGGGCTGGATGCCTCGTGGGCGGCAGGTGGCGGTGGCAGGTGGAGGAGCAAGCTCAGGAGCCGCCAGTGTTCCCTGTCCAGGGCCTTTCCTCTGCACAGCCCTCCTCCCTGGGAGATGCACGAGAAGGAGTCAGACCAGCAAATTCACCTGATGACTCGCGCCTTCTCCGAATCTTATTGACACAGCCTTTACATCAATACTGGTGTGACACCTGTTTGTCACTCTGTGACCTGCTTGTCACTTACTGGTTTCCTTCAGGAGAAACAAGTGGGGATAACAAAGAAGGGAGTGTTTTGTTTGGAAGTTGCAGTTCTTTTTAAGCTACTGACACATTGTTGGGAAATGTTTTTTGTTTTTTTTTTAAATAGAAATTCTCAAACTGACCTTGTTTCTCCTGCCATTGGTTGATTGACTGACTGATTGATTCTTTCAAGGCATATATATTGGATGTGCCTGTATTGCTTAAGGGAATAAATCAAACCAGAGTCCCTCTCCTTGTGAAACCTACACTATAGGAAAGAGACAGAAAACCAGGGTAAAATGCATGACTGACGGAGGGGGGTGAGAGCCGAGAGAGTGGAACGTTTTACATGTGTGCTTTTTACCATGGTACACATGCCAGGGGCTGGAACTTCAGTTCAGTGGGGTGCGCAAGGCAGGACTCCCTGAGAAGGTAGCTCTTAACCAAGGGGTGGGAGGAAGAGAGAGTGAGCCAAGCGGGTATCTGAGGGAGGGCGGCCTGGGGAGGAGGCCAGCATTCTCTCCCACATCAGGAAAGCCCCTGCATATCCCAGGAACAGCCAGAGGCCCCAGAGGCTGGAGTAGGTGGGGGGAGCAGCAGGGCAGGGCCACCGTCTCTGAAGCAGAAGGGTGAGAACCACGTGGCCATTACTGACTCCCAGTTCCCTGTCTCCAGGATCCGGAGGTTGGCTGGAGAAACATGTTCCTGCTGGCCGCTGCCGTCAACATCTCAGGTCTGGTCTTCTACCTCATCTTCGGCCGAGCAGAAGTTCAGGACTGGGCCAGAGAGCGGAGATTCACCCACCTCTGAACAGACAGAGCGACGCGTGAGCTCCCTCACTTGGTGTCCACTGCTGTCCCCCACAGACCTTCCCCTCTGAGCCTGCGTGGCTGGCTAGCCCCGTGATGGGAACTGGCTTGGTTTTCGGTATCTCCTCATGTCCTGGCCTCTGTAACACTGAAGATTTTTCCAGGCTGGGAGATTTTACAGAGGAAACCCTAGGTGTGTCTCTTCATTTTCCAAACTATGGAAAGTTCAGAACCAATGGAAAGTGCCCCAGATCAGGGGACCTAAGCAGGCAAAGTCCCTCTCACGTTGAGGCAGGAGGGAATCAGGCCCTTCTGAGGCACGGTGTGGGTACGATGTCTGCATGAAAACCTGCAAGGAGACAAGGATGACAGAGAGTGAATCCATCTCAACAGGAGCAATGAACGTCCTGCAGTGGTGTGGGCAGCAGGTGTGGGCTCTTCCAGACTTGCTCTCTGGGAATGCCAGCTCTCGACCGGGATCAGCTCGGTCATATCTCCTTGCTCAGGTGCTCTGTGGATCCAGCTCGTCCATAGCCGCCATCTTTGTGGCCATCTTGACTTTGGTCCTGCATCTGGTGTGTGGGTCCGGGCAGATCACTGGCAGCTTAGTGGATAAACATCGTCCAGTTTCTCTCCTGTCCCCTCAAACATATCTTATGAAGATCCATCTCAGATGTTCTGCATTTGCTTCTGACCTTTGGGACCTTGCCATCATTGTACCACATTCAGTGTTCCAAAAAACTGTATAAGACCCACACTGGCTTGATCCCAGTCCAGGGGTCAGGGAGTGTCCTGGTGTGTCTGCTCTCAGTGAGCCCCCACATGGGCAGTACAGGGGCCATGAAAGAGATCAAAAATTCAAGAACTCAGTGAATATTGTGAACGTGTATTCATTGCTCAGGGGGGCACAGCAGAAAACAAAGTCATACACAGCTCAAAGGAGCTCAGTATCTCGGAAGGCAGATGGCCTTAATCAAGTATCACACAAATGAATGTGTAATGACAACTGTGGGAATTGAAGCAATGGGGGACATGCACTAGGAGAGTGAGTGAGGTGCATGTGCAGTGACGTAGGCAAGAGAGGTCACACACGAAGCTCCAGATGGGATCTGGAGGACAAGTGTTAACTGTGGCAGGAGGCCCATGGGGAGAATGTCCTAGGAAGGGGCACAGCGTATGCCAAGGTTTGGTGGCGAGAGAGAGCAGTCAGGCGTGGCCACAGTGCAGAGAACAGGGAAGGCGTGGTTGGTGAGTAGGCTGTGGGTTCCTAAGAGCTAGAGCACCCAGGTACTGGACCGAGCAAGAAAGCACCAGATCAGGGGGAAGTGGGTTAGTGGGAAGGACAAGATCAGCGTTCTGTGTTTTGGAAGTTATTCTGCATGAGGGAGCAGGAAGGAATAGGGATTCCCAGTGAACTTCCTCAAGTGATAGGGTGTCTCTGGAGCCACCGAATGATCAACCAGACCACAGCTGGACCAGGGCTGCTTAATTACCCAGACCTCTCGCCCCCACCCCAATTCTTCCTGTTTCAACCTGCAGCTCCTGTCTGTGCCCCAAGACAGGAATCGGATGCAGGACCTTGCCTTGCCTTCCCAGTGTGGCCCAACTGGACCAATTCCTCTTCCTGCTTTTCTGTTTGATTTTTGGGGTGGATGACTGCACCTGGTTGGTTAGAACCCTGAAGACGGGTGTCTGGCCCAGGACTCCGGTGACACTGTCAGCACAGCCAGGGGAAAAGCAAGGCCAAGAAAAAGAGCTCTGCTACACGTCGTGAGGTGCTGCTGTTGCCGGAGCCTCCCACCACCTCGCCTGGCACCTGCAAGGCAAGCCCAGAGGTCCCAGGGGCCTATACCTGTCACCAGGTGGCCACAGCTGTTCAAGCAGACCTGGCCCAGCCAAGAAACAGTTGTCAGAAACAGAATGGGCTCCACATTTTGAAGAGGAAAAGGAAGCAGAGAAGGAATTCACTTGTAAGTGTGAAACTGAACACTTCATCAAAGACTTCGGAAGTGGACACACCACGGAAATGTAAAATACTCTATAAAACTTCTGAATTACTCGAGCAGGCAGGAGGGCAGCAGCAGGAGACAGACCACCAAGATAAGGAGGAGCTTCTGCAAGGAAGCAAATCAACTCAGGAAAATGAGGTACCTTTGCAAGGTCAGACGCAGTTGGATTTGATGCATCTAGACCAAAGGGACAGCTCTCAAAGCGGTGAAATAATTGAAGACACTTATATGTCCTTTTCGAAAAACACTTATTAAGTGAAATGATTTGGAAAGGTGGAATTTAGAAGCGATGTAAATTAATCCAGAATCCTCAGACTTTTACATACATACACACACACACACACACACACACACACAAACAAACTCATAATTTAGCGTTGCCATATCAATAGCAGAAAGTAAATTAAAATCAAAAAGTAGAAATCACAGGATAGAAAAAGCTGATAAAATCATAAAATCAAAATACAGCAGGGACACCCAATGCTTGTTTCTTGACGGTTGCCAAACTGCCCGTGAACTCCCGAGGAGCAGTGCCCGTGACCACGCCGTCTCCAGAGCCGATTTCCTCCGCCTCTCTTCTTCCTCTAACTCTTCCAGGACTTGAAGCTCATTTACAAAACAAACCTCCCTTACCCCCACTGCTTCCAGAGAGAAGGGTAGCCACTGAGAAGGTCAGGCCCTGAGGCCTTCTGAGCCTGAGCTGTGGAAATAACTGGATGGAACCCTAAGAAGGCGCTGCCTGTCTTCCTTGGCTTGGCTCCCGTGGGCTTGCTTCCAGGGAGTGGGGTTTTTTTGCCAGTTCCTAGGTTGGGCCTCCTTTGGTTTTGTCCAAGCTGATAGAATAAATTCTGAACAGCTGAGGCTGTGGGGAAAGAGGTCGCACGTGTTTTGGGAGCAGAAAGACACCTTCATGGCAGTGAGTGAGGACAGGGTACGGCGACTTTGCAAGTGCCCAGGACGGTCTCCTGTGAGCTTTCTCTGTTTTTTGCTGGGTCAATAGTGAATATGCCAGACGTATTTGGGACCGAATACTAAATAAGAAGGTAGATATGAGACCGCCAAGCCAGCTCTCAGTCTTATGGGGTTGACAGACACACCAGAAAATTAGGTGTTAACAAATGAGCCAGTCTTTAAGGCTACGGAATTAAGATGATTCTTAATTAGGAGATTAGGAAGTCAGTCCAGCTCTCTAAGACTGTGTGTTCAGCAGAGATACCAAGGAGCCAGAGCCGGATGAGACCATGTCACTTAAATCAAACCATGACACAGGGCAATGGTCTGCCCTGTTCTGAAAACAATATCAGGGACTCTCCCAGGTGATAAAGGACAAAGTCCAGCCGTGAGGGCCATGTACACGCACTGAACTATCACTGCAGAAACCTCTAGTTACTGCTCCTTATTAGCATAGGAGATCCACACCCAGGTGGAGACAGGTGGTGTTGACACACATCTCCTGAAGAGGCAGGTGAGGCAGAGAGGGCGACTAAGCCCACCTCTTCGTGTGATGACATCACGGGCCTGGTCCCTGTCCACCCCATCGATGCCCAGGAGCTATCCACCTCTGTCCTTCGAGGCAGTCTTGGATTCTGTCCCCACACGCTGCCTCCCTTACTCCAGAGCCTAAGAATCGACCTGCTCCTGCCTCGGCTGGACTTTGATATGATTCTTCTGACGGAGAGCACAAGACCCCAGGGAGAGGGGACAGCAGGAATCAGGTGCTGGTTCTCCTGTGGCTGTTACCTTGTCCCCGTCATCCTCTTTTGCTCTTCTCCTCTCAGTTCCCCGTGGCCTGGAGAAAGGACTGTCTCTTCCTGAAGGAAACAGATGTGGGCGAACAGCTCTGCGGGGGGTGCCACCTGGAGATCCGTTAGCAGCCAGGGGCCAGCGAGGCTCCAGGTCTTCTCCATGAGGGAGAGGAGAACACACACAGGATGGAGCACAGGGCTCTGCCAGGCGTGTGTTAACAATCCCAGGGCTGGGCACAGTGGCGCACACCTGTAGTCCCAGAGGCTGAGGAGGCTGAGGCAGAAGGACCATGAGTTCACAGCCGGCCTCAGCAATGGCAAGGCACTAAGCAACTCAGGGAGACCCTGTCTCTAAATAGAATGCAAAATAGGGCGGGGGGTGTGGGCCAGTGGTCAAGGGCCCCTGAGTTCATTCCCCAATATCACCCTCCCCCCAAAGAAAAACCTCACAGGAAGTATCAAGGACGTTGCACACACACTCACCCATGTCGGCTGTGCCAGAAGACCCTCGCCTGAGTCTCCACGTGCATATGCGCAGGTCCTGGGCTGCTTTTCTCATGGCATGAAGCCCCCACACTCATTAGCAAAGCACAGCGCTGGAGCACAGTGGTTGGTTAGAGCCACTGAGCTCTGACTGTAACTACCCACACCAGAGGATGAGCCCCAGTGTGTGTTCCCTGTTCATCGACTGTGCACCCTTCAACTAGTTATCACTGAATAAGGCCCTCCACATAGGAATGCACAAGTTACCCTCTACAAATCCTAGGAAGAAATACACTTGCATTTGTATGTTGCATATCGATAAACAAGAAACACATAGTATCCCAGTAGGTAAGAAATGCCAATGGATCACTCACAAGACAGCAAATTAAGACGACCAACTCTTGTGACCCCAGAAATAGCAAAGCCACAGAAATATAAGAGTATGTTCCCATTCACAATAAAAGATGACCTATTTTAAAGTTATAGCACAGTTTTTGTCAGGTTGGTAAGAGGTAGTGAGATGAAGGTGCACGCTCCTTGGCTTGGAGGGCACAGGGAGCCTGACAAGGACACTCTCTCAGCCTTCTTCTTGTCCACACGGGTGTCCCTGCCTGGGCAGAGGTGGCCCTGCTGTGTGCCCCCCCCCCACGTCTCCTTATCATCTCATCCTCTTTTCTGCAGTGTCCATCTTGACTTTTAAGATTCTTTCCCACAACCTTCCGCTGTCTGAGCACATCCTGTCCCCTGCTGCTCTGAGCTCCTGCGGGCTGCACTGACCTGTCCAGGTAGTCTAATAATGGCTTTGCTAGTTTGTAGGTTCATTTTGTACTGTAAGCTTTCAACTTAGGTCTGCTTTGTGGAAATACTTTTCTGGTGAGTTTTCCTCTTTTAGAATAATTACGGGCTCTCTTTCTTCATTTTTTCATCTCGTTCCTTTGTATAGCACCAAACTACATTACTAGGTTTGGAGGGTCTTTTTTCTTTCTTGCAACTCATTACATTCTCATTTGCATGATTTCTGATAATAAGTCTGCTCTAATTCTTATTCTTGTTCCTCTGTAAGTGAGGTATTTTTTCTCCTTTGGATGCATTCTTGATGCTCTGTTTGTCTGGGCATGGTTGCACACATATAACTCCAGAGATTCTGGAGGCTGAGGCATGAGGATCTCAAGTTCCAGGTCAGCCTCGGGAATTTAGCAAGACCCTTCTTAGCACGACCCTGTCCCAAAGTAAAAACTGAAAACGGCAGGGGATGTGTCCCAGTGGTAAAGTGTCCCTGAGTTTGGTCCCCAGTACCAAAACAAAAATGAAAACAAAAAAGCACATGTACAGTTTGTCTTAGTTTTCTGCAGTTAAATATGGAATATCCAGGAGGTTTTTCTCTTTTCTTGTAATGCCATCTGGTGTTCTCTGAGCTTCCTGGATGTGTGGTTTGCTGTCTGCCATCAGTTTTGAAGTGTTCCCCTCCATTATTTTTCAAACATTTCTTCTTGGCATTCTTTCTGCTTTTGCTGTTGTGGGATGGCTGCACCTTTGGTGCTGTGCACAGATCTGGGGTGTCCTGTTAGTGGGTGGGTGTGTTTGATTTTCTTCTCTGCACTTCG